GAGGCCTTGCGCCCGCTCGCCGAGGAGGTGTTCGAGGACCCGAGGGGCGCCGCGGGGTCGGCAGGTGCCTCGCTGATCCTCGCGGACGGAGACGTGGACCCGCCCGCGAAGAGGTACCTGCGCGCCTGCGACGACCTGGGCATCGTGCCGCTGCAGCTGCCCTTTTGCACCGGCAGCTCCGCGCGGCTCCAGGCACGGGGCTCAGGAGGCGGGGGCCAGTGCAGGTTGGGTCAGTCCGAGCGCGGGGTCCTGCAGGATCCTGCAGGGCGAGGGCTGCACTGGCCCAGGCTTGCGTGCAGGATCCCGCGGTGTCCTGCAGGATCGCCTGACTGACCCGGCGGCTGCATCGACCCGGGCCAGCGGACCCTGGACAGGCCAGTGGCACCACGCTGAAGGACGAGGACGTCGCCGCCATCGCCTCCATGCTCCCGGACGCCGCCCTGGAGGAGCTCGACCTCCGGGGCAACTCCGGCCTCTCGGCCGCCGTGCTCCAGGAGTTTCTGGAGGCGCTCGGCCGGGGCGCCGCGGCGCGGGCCCTGAGGCGGGTCGACCTGAGCGGGTGCACCCGGCTCGGGCAGGCGGGGCCCCTGGGCGCCGCGGTGCGGCTGCTGCGGGACGCCCGCGGCCTGGGGCGCCTGCAGAACCTGGACCTCAGCGGCGTGCAGCTGGGCGTGCGCCTGCAGCTGCCGCTCTGCCAGGCGATCTGCGCGCACGGCAGCCTGTGCACGCTGGGCCTGGCCGACACGCAGCTGGGCGCCGACCTCGGCGCCGACCTCGGCAGGCAGTGCGTCGGGGAGCTGCTGGGCTGCAAGGCCCTGCGCACCCTGGACCTGTCCTGGAACTGCTTCTCGGAGGAGGTGTTCTCCCACCTCGGGCAGCAGCTCGTGGAGACCCAGCGGCTGCGCTCGCTGAGCGTGGCCGGCTGCGCCTCGGCCTGCCCGCAGCGCTCCACCGAGGAGATCACCCCGGCGGCGCTGCTGATCGAGCGCCTCTCGCGCGTCCACTCCCTGACCAGCCTCGACGTCTCGCTCTGCCGGCTCGACCACCGGGGCGCCCTGGTGCTGGAGGACGCCCTCGGACAGGCGCGGTCGCTGTCGGAGCTCCTCGTCGCTCACAACCCGATGGGCGCCCTGGGCATCCGCTGCCTCGTGAGGCTCCTCTCGCGGGCCACGTCGGGGCTGAGGCACTTCGACTGCGAGGGCTGCAACGGCGAGGCCACCCGGCAGCACTTCGACAGCGACAGCCAGTTGATCTTCTACGCCACCCACCCCGGGGGCTACTACCCCCTGGACCTGGCCAAGCCCTACCACCGCACGATCCTGCGGATGCTCTGCAAGAGCTCCGAGCTGTTCGGCCTGGAGCCCCGGGACTGCTTCCGGGAGCTCCGCTCGACGCACAAGTTGGGGGCGGCAAAGAGGGGGGTGATGACTAGGGGGGGTGATGATCATGGCGTGGGCCATCGTATTGCCCCAGATTTCACGGCGCCTCTTCTTGTTTCGTTACGTCACTGGCCCCCCCCCTGCGCCGTGCACACGCCGCGGGCCATGATTTGCGCCCCCCCCTCTCGGACGCCCCCCTCTTGGCCGCCCCCCGATCAGGTACGAGCACGCCCAGAAGGACCAGCACGGGGTGTTCCAGGTTGGAGCCGTCGGGGGGTATGAGGTGTCCCGGCACTGGTTCTGCCAGCGACGAGAGGGGGCAGGTACTCTCCGGAAGGTGGTTGTGCCCTCTTTCTGCCTCGGGGGGCCGTTTTCGGGCGCGGGGACCGTCAGAAATGGATCCGGGGTGAAAAGCTGCCCCAGATGGACCAGGACGGTACTGGGGCCGATTTTGACCGGATTTGGCTTCACCCTCCCTTTCCTGACTGATTGTCTAGGAGGAGGAGGAGGAGGAGGAGGAGGAGGAGGAGGACGAGGAGGAGGAGGAGTAGGAGAAGGAGGATGAGGAGGAGGAGGAGGAGGTTGTCGGATCCCCCCCGCCGCCTCCAAGCTCCAGGTGCCGTCGCACGGCAGGCTGTCCTTCACCTTCACGCTGGAGAAGGCCACCGAGAGCGCCCTCCAGGATCGGGAGAGAAACACAGGCACGGTCACAAAGCAACGTCGGTTTACTGGAAATTGTTGGAAAATGGTTTCATGGCGGGGAAGCTGGACATCTAGACAGATACTGAACATCTACACATCATTACATACACATATGTGTACACATACATATACACATACTTCTATGCAGTTATTTTCACACATATATGTAGATATATGTATATATACACATATCTATAATGCACATGTATAAGGGGGGGGATCCTGGAATGTTTGCCTACTTCCTTGTGTCTCCCTGGGCTCATGATGTTCTGGCCTACTTTGGCCTCGACCTTCAGGAAGAATTTTGAGCACCTGGAGAGTATCGAAGCTGGAGTGTTTTCACGGGTCTGTCCCTGGAACTTGGAAGGTGATACCCGTTCGATTTTCCGCCAGCGTGCGTGTCGGGCTGACGCTGTGTTTACCTACTTCTCATCTGGGTGCTCGGAAACATTTCTGGGGACAAACGTTTACTCTGGGCCCCTTCACAGGAGTCGGTCGACCTGTCCTTCCGCGAGTTCCTCGAGCGGCACGCGCGGCTGACGTGCCTCGCCCTCCCGAGCAGCAAGGTGGTGGCGTTGCTGGCGGAGTGGCGACGGCTGCACGGCCGCGAGCAGGAGCGGATGGCCATCCTCGACGCCGTGTCCAAGGTCAAGGGAGGAACAAAAGCACCCCGACTCCCAGAATTTCGAATAGCAGAAAGCTTCAGGCATGCACATGTGGAGCTCCGCGCGGACTTCTGGGGTCGTCGCTGGGACCCTTCCTCCCGGGCGCGCGGAGCGCCGGGGGCGGCGCCGGAGGCGCCGCCACGGAGATCCAGCGCCGATCCAAGAAATCCGCGCGGAGTTCTGACAGTTTTTGATTCGGCTGTTTTTACTGTTCCTAGATCGTTGGCGTTTACTTTGCCGCCCCGGGCGTTCACTCAACAGCTCTCTCCTGTTCGATCCCTGCCCCAGGTGCGTTTACGAAACGGCTTCGCTTGTAAGGGTGTTTGCTATGGAGGGTCGTTTTCTGTCTAAGGAGTTGAGGCAGAAAAAGCGCTGCGGGCACGAACTTCAGGAGTTCCGCGCGGATTTGTTGGATCGGCGCTGGGCCCACCCCTCCCTGGCGCTGGGCCCCCCCTCCCTGGCGTAAACAGCCCTGTCGTCGTCGTCGTCGTCGTCGTCGTCGTCGTCGTCGTCGTCGTCGTCGTCGTCGTCGTCGTCGTCGTCGTCGTCGTCCGCGCGGCTGTCTTGGATCGGCGCTGGGTCCGCATTTCGGCGCCCGACGCTCGACGCCCGACGGCCCGACGCCCGACGACGCTCCTCGACGACGACGACGGCGACGACCCCGACGACGCCGACGCCGACGACGCCGACGGCGACGACGGCGACGACATCGACGGGGCTGTTCAGTAAACGCCCGGGGTCGCAGAGTAATCGAGGGAGGAGGAGGAGGAGGCGGAGGAGGAGGAGGAGGACGACGACGACGGCAATGACGACGACGACAACGACGACGTAAGCGCCCGGGGTCGCAGAGCAATCGAGGGAGGAGGAGGAGGAGAGGAAGAGGAGGAGGAGGAGGAGGAGGCGGAGGAGGAGGAGGAGGAGGAGGAGGAGGAGGAGGCAACGCAAAAGCCTAAACGTAACCTGCCAGAGCTCCGCACGGATATTCCTTGGATCTCGGCGCTGGGCCCTCGTGGCGGCGCCCCTGGCGCCGGACCCCGCGCGCCACGGCAGGGGGTCCCGGCGCCGAGCCAAGAGAGCAGCTCGGACCTCCGAGAGTCCCCAGAGATCCAAACGCGTTGACAAAGCCAGGACGGCGGTTTTTCAACACTTCGGCCCTCACGGGCCCTCGCGGGCAGCGCCAGGGGCGGGGGTCCCCAGAGATCCAACGTATTGAAAAAATCAAGGCGGGGGTTTTTCGCAAATTTCTGCCCCTAGGCCCTAGGGGCCCTCGCCGGGCCTCGGGACTGTCAGAACACGATTCAGGATGAGAAACCGGTCCTGGGGAACGGGTCGAGACTCCTTGGGGCCGCGCATGAACAAAAATCACGACGTCGGAATTTCTGGGTCTGTGCTTTTGGATCTCATGTTCCCCTCGCGCGGCGTCCTTCGGGTGCAGCGCTGGGGCGGGGCAGGGGGCCGCATTGGCCCCCAACCGCCCCGTTGATCGCCGACAGGGCCCCGCTGGCCCCCCAGCGCCCAGGAGCATGCGGGCTCGCTGTCGGAGGCCCAGGGCCGATCCATGGGCGACGTGTCGCCGATGCCAGGTCGGTGCGTCCTCCCCTTCCCCCCCGAGCGCCCCCGCCCCCATTGTTCCAGACCGCCCTAAGCTTCTGCTTACGCATGCTCCTCCTCGACGTCCTCCTCCTCCTCCTCCTCGTCCTCTTCCTCCTCCCTCCCCCTCGTCCTCCTGGTCGTCCTCCTCGTCCTCGTCGCTCTCGTCCTCCCTCTCCTGATCCTCCTCCTCCTCCTCCTCCTCCTCCTCCTCCTCTTTCTCCTCCTCTTTCTCCTCCTCTTTCTCCTCCTCCTCCTCCCCCTCCTCCTCCTCGCATCTGTGCCTCCAGACAGAGGACTTCCTCTTCACGCCGGCGCAGCTGGAACTCCTGTGCCAGCAGCCCGGCAGCGACTCCGCCCAGATCGTGGGCCGCCTGCTGCCGGTCGTCACTGGCGGCCAGCCCGGGCTCTTCTCGGGGCGGGCGACGGGGGGGGTCCTGAGACCCCAGACCCCCTCGAGTAATGAAAAAATCACGACGGGAGGTTTTTCCTGATTTTCGGCCTCCGGGGGCCCTCACCGGGCCTCGGGAGCGTCAGAAAACGACTCAGGGTGCAAAGCCGGTCATGGGGGAAGGGTCGGGACCTCCGGGGGTCGACGTAATGAAAAAATCATTACGTCGGGGGTCCTGAGACCTGGGCGCTTGCGCCCGCGAGCGCGCGACGCTCGACGCCCGACGCTCGACGACGCTCGACGACGACGCTCGACGACGACGACGACGACGACGACGACGACGACGACGACGACGACGACGACGACGACGACGACGCCCGTGCCCGGGCGCCTCAGGCCGGCGCCCCGCGAGGTGGGGCGCGCCCTTTCGGCGCCCGGGTCCCGCCACGAGCTCCCGGGGCGATCGATTGCTGGCAAGCCATTCCCTTCCGCGGCCAGGGGAACGAACAACGATCGGGGGCAGCCAGGGGGGTGATGACTACCCAGAGATCCAACGTATTGAAAAAAACAAGTCGGATTTTTTTTTTTTTTTTTTTTTTTGCAAATTTCTGCCCCTAGGGGCCTTCGCCGGGCCTCGGGACCGTCAAAAACGACTCAGGATGAAAAACTGGTCCTGGGGAATGGGTCGAGACTTCCAGGGACCGCGTATTGAAAAAATCACGACATCAGATCTTTGGGTAGGGGGGTGGAGATCATGGCGGGGGCCATGGTATTTCCCCTGATTTCATGGCGCCTCTTCTTGTTTCGTTGCGTCCCTGGCTCCCCCCCCACCCCCCGGGGCCGCGCACATGCCGCGGGCCATGAGTTGCGCCCCCCCCCTCTTGGACGCCCCCCTCTTGGCCGCCCCCGAAATGACACGAACGCAAGAACTCGGAGGTCCGCGCGGCTTTCTCGGATCGGCGCCGGGGCCCTCTGGCGGCGCTTCCTGCGCCGCCCCTGAAGCGCTCCGCGCGCCAGGGAGGGGGGTCCAGCGCGGATCCAAGACATTCAGGAGGGGAAAAACACACAGACACAATGAATCGTCGATTCCCACGAAAATATTGGAAAATATGGGAAGTGTGTGTGTGGGGGGGGGGGAAGACACAAATCCCCCCAAAAAAAATATGAAAATATGGGGAATCTGATCATTTATGTGTATATATATATATAGATAGATAGATCGATAGATATATAGATAGATATATAGATAGATAGATCGATGTGTGTGTGTGTGTGAGTGTGTGTGTGTGTCCCTGGGTCCCTTTAGACATCCTCGCGGACCTCCGAGCTTTGTTATGTCTGTGTGCGTTTTCCCTCCCCCACAGGTGGCGCCCCCCTCGCCTCGCCCCAAGGCGTGTGCACGCGGCCGGAGGGAGGCTGGAAAGGCGAGCGCGACGCCACGGAAGGGGACGGTTTGCTGGGGGTCGGTCAGGCCGCGCTCGCGAGGGCTCCTCGCCTCGGGCGCGCCAGGGCATCAAGAAGCCATATGCTTTTCGTCAGGGTGTCCTGAGTTTCTTCGCTCCTCGCGCTGCGCGGTGACTTCCCGCAGCCGTTGAAGAAGCTGCTGCGTTCAGGGTGCTCCAGGTTTCCCCTGGGGTGCACCTCGCGCACGGGTTCTCAGGGTTGGGTTTCCTGCGAGGGTTTCTTGCGGCCGCGCCCGCACCGTACAAAAACAGACCAGTGCAGTGCCTCGGGTCTCAGGGTGATGGATCAGCGGCGAGCGAGGAGGGAAAGCGAGAAGGAGAGGGCCTTCTCGGAAGGCGGCGGGGCTTCCCGCAAACACTCGCGCCTTCTGAGAAGTTCCCCGTGTCTTCCGGGGATGCTTAGAGCATTTATCAGAAGGCCTGGGGATTTCCGAACCTTCGGAGAAGGCCTTCTTCTCATCATTCACCCCCCTCGCTCGCCGCCGAACACCTCCCCTTTCTCCCGACCCGATCTTCCTGAGCCTCCTGGCGCAGAGCACGATCGACGACTTCTCCCGCACCATTCGGCTGCGCGCAAGAGTGACCCTTCGCTCGGAGGAGGAGAAGATACCGATGCCGCTGCCCGTCTCTCGTCGCCACGGCTGGATGCGTTTCGGAATCCTGGTCAGAACGCGCCCCAGGACCGGACGCCGCCCACCAGAGTCGGCGGCGAGCGAGGGGAGGAAGTGAGAAGGAAAAGGCCTTCTCAGAAGGCGGCGCGGCTTCGCGGAAGCCCATCGCGCCTCTTGACAGAGTTGTCTGAGTCTTTTCGGGGAGCGCTCAGATGACTTCTCAGCAGGCCGGGGCACTTGCACTTCCGAGCCTTCTGCGAAGGCCTTCTCTGTTTCATCTCCCCCCCCTCGCTCGTCGCCGACAAAGGTCACTTGCCTTGGGTCACTCTTGCGCGTGGCCGGGCCATCGCTATGGCGCGGCAGTGGCTGCTGTTCAACCCCGACAACCCGACGGGGCGCTACCGCCTCGACCTGAAGGAGTCGCCGTCCGACGACGACGCCGCCGCCGCCGCCGCCGCCGCCGCCCACGACGACGGCGACGACGACGGCGACGACGGCGACGACGCCGCCGCCGCCGCCGCCCACGACGGCGACGACGACGACGACGACGACGACGGCGACGACGCCGCCGCCGCCGCCGCCGCCCACGACGACGACGACGACGACGACGACGACGACGACGACGACGACGACGACGACGGCGACGACGACGACGACGACGGCGACGGCGACGACGACGACGACGACGACGACGACGACGACGACGGCGACGGCGACGGCGACGACGACGACGACGACGACGACGACGACGACGAGCCGCTGTCGGGCTCCCGAGGCCCTCCACGGCCCCACGGGCCCCACGGGGGCCGCCCCCGTTCGGGTTGCCCGCGGGGGGAGGGGCGCCGAGCACCTCGCGCTCCTCGCGCGCCCTGGGCCCTCGCGGGTGGGGAGGAGGAGGGGGAGGAGGAGGGGGAGGAGGAATGAGGAGGCGGAGGAGGAATGAGGAGGAGGAGGAGGAGGAGGAGGAGGAGGAGGAGGAGGAGGAGGAGGAGGGGGAGGAGGAAGGAGGAGGAGGAGGAGGAGGAGGCGCGGCTGCGATCCTCCGCGGGCACCGCCAGGGCGCGAAGCTGCTCGTGCATCAGGGCTGGACCTAAACGGTGTTTTTGGTGGTCTCGTGGGCCGCTTTCGCTGCGACTTCGTGCTGCGGTATGGGGCGGACCCGAGACAAGAGCGAGGGAAAACGAAAGCAGAACGAGAACGGAAAACACCGCTTAGGTTCAGCCTGGGGGCCCTAGGGGCCCTCGCCGGGCCTCGGGACCGTCAAAAAACGACTCAGGATGAAGAACCGGTCCTGGGGCATGGGTCGAGACTACCGGGGACCTAATCACGACATCGGATCTCTGGGAAGCTGCTCGTGCATCGCGCACCGCGGGGCGCGCCGCGAGAGGCGGGGCGCGGCCCGGGTCAAACAGCGGGCGCCGGAGGAGGAGCCGCTCCCGCGTGCGGCCCCCGTGGCCCCGGAGCGGCGGCGGGTTTGGGGGGGGGGGGCGCAGAGGGGGCGGGCCTACTCTGAAGTCGGGCCTGTCCCCCTACAGGGGGATTTTCCATGAAAAATCAAGAATACCCCAAAAATAATCCAAACATATTCCAAACATAGTAAGGGGGCTATTTGTTGAGTATTTTTTGCCTTTTGGGGTATTTTAGGGGTATTCTTTATTTTTCATCGGAAATCCCCTTGTAGGGGGACGCGCCCAACATAAGCCTACTCGGAAACTGGAACATATACATTGCCAGCGGCGGGCTTTCTTTCAATCCCAGGATTTCTTGAGGGTCGAGGGCGACGCAGAGATCCAACGTATTGAACAAAAACAGACGGCAGTTTTATTCAAATTTCGGCCCCTGGGGGCCTCGCCGGGTCTCGGGACCGTCAAAAGACGACTCGGGATGAAAAACCGTTCCCGGGGAATGGGTCGAGTTTTCCAGGGACTGCGTATTGAAAAAATCACGACATCGGATCTCTGGGGACGCTGGGGTGGTGTGGTGTCTACTTTTTGTCCCCGATGTCACAGGGAAACGCCGAAACACGTATACACCAGGGTCCCGTATACACCAGGATTCGCTCTCCAGTGCAAACTCGAATGCAGGGCCAGAAGAAGCGTCGGTGTATAGAGTTTGATTCCAGGCTCGGACGGCCTCCTGCCTTCTGAGAAACTGCCCGAGCCCCTGCCGAAGACGCAGCAGACCTCTCAGAAGGCGCGACGGCCCCTGATCCTGAGAGGACCTCCCCCTCTTTCTGCCCCCCTGGGCTGGTCGTACGCAGGACCCCTTCCGCTCGGGACCCGCCCCCCCCCCCCCCCTGCCGAGAGGAGCCCGCAGACCACGCGGTGGCAGGCCGGCTGGTGCTGCTGGATGCCGGAGAAGAGCAGAAACCGTGAGCTCAGACCTCCAGAGGAGGAGGAGGAGGAGGTGGAGGAGGAGGAGGAGGGGGAGGAGGAGGAAGAGGAAATGGAGGATGAGGAGGAGGAGGAGGAGGAGGTGGAGGAGAGGTGGTGGTGGAGGAGGGGAGGAGGGAGGGAGGGAGGGATGGGAGAGGTGGGAGGTGAGGAGGAGAGATAGGAGGTGGAGGAGGAGGAGGAGGCACGCGTGGGCACGGCGGATCGAGGCTATCAGCTCGAGGTCGGTTGGGGGGGTGCCCACTCTGATGTTTTTCGTGCGTGTTGGTGTGTGTGTGTGAGTGTTGTGTGTTGTGGTGGATGTGTGTTGTGTGTGTGTGTGTGTTGCGTGCGTGCGTTGCGTTGACGTGCGTGCGTGCGTTTGGTGCGTGAGTGCGTGCGTGTGTGAGTGTGTGCTGTGTGGTGTTGTTGGATGTGTGTGTGTGTGTGTCCTGGAGTGGGTGCGTGCCGTGCGTGCTAGTGCGTGCGTAGCGTGCGTGCGTGCGGCGTTGCGTCGTGTGGTGTGTGCGTGTTGGATGTGTGTGTGTGTGTGTGTGTGTGTGTTGTGTGTGTGTG